TTAACAATAACGAAGAAATCAGACTAAAACGCGTGATTGCATATATGAAAAAATCCCACAGTGAAAATACGAAATAAAATTAGAGCGCATTCATGTGCTTAAACACATATGTTCAGAGGATATGTGTAAGCACATGCAAGCGCTCAGGTTTTTTCCTATTTCACTGTGGTATTTTTTATATTAATAAATTTTATTGGGATTCATATAAATAAAAACCGAACGAGAAGGTTCCCACCTGGTCATTGAATGTAAGGTGGAGGGTGTGCCACTGTCCGTCATGCAAGGTGGTGTTTAGTTCGAGTTTCAGCGAGCCAGTATCACCCTCAAGAAGAAGCTGGGGTCGCCCCTCCACCAGTTGAAGCGCCAGCATGGGCGTGTGCGTGAGCGTGGATGGGGGTGGGGCCAGGGGACCCGAGTACAGGATGATGGAGTGTGGATGGCGAGTGAGAAGACGAAGGGAAACGGTGGTCGGCAGGCAGAGTGGCAGCGGACGAACCCAAACCCAACCGTGTCCAGTGAAGCTTCGGCTTATCACCTTGCAGTGGGGCCCCGATGATCCGCCTGGACAAACGCACCTGTATCCAAAGGGCTCTTGTAGGATATGCATACATTTGTATAACACACACACACACAACACACACGTATACCAGGAAGGGGACTGCAATGGATCAGAGAATATCTGACAGGGAGGCAGCAACAAGTCATGGTACGGGATGAGGTATCACAGTGAGCACCTGTGACGAGCGGTGTCCCACAGGGGTCGGTCCTAGGACCAGTGCTATTTCTGGTATATGTGAATGACATGATGGAAGGGATAGACTCAGAGGTGTCCCTGTTCGCAGATGAAGTGAAGATAATGAAGAGAATTAAATCAGATGAGGACCAGGCATGACTTTAAAGAGACCTGGACAGGCTGGACACATGGTCCAGCAACTGGCTTCTTGAATTCAACCCTGCCAAATGCAAAGTCATGAAGATCGGAGAAGGACAAAGAAGACCGCAGACAGAGTATAGACTAGGTGGCCAAGGACTGCAAACCTCGCTCAAGGAGAAACATCTTGGGGTGACCATAACACCGAGCATGTCTCAGGAGGCACACATCAGCCAGATAACTGCTGCAGCATATGGGCGCCTGGCAAACTTGAGAATAGCGTTCCGATACCTTAGTAAAGAATCGTTCAAGACACTGTACACTGTGTACATCAGGCCCATACTGGAGTATGCAGCACCAGTTTGGAACCCACACCTGGTCAAACACGTCAAGAAATTAGAGAAAGTGCAAAGGTTTGCAACAAGGCTAGTTCCGGAGCTCAGGGGTATGTCGTACGAAGAAAGGTTGAGGGAAATTTGACTGACGACATTGGAGGACAGGCGGGTCAGGGGAGAAATGATAACGCCATACAAAATACTCCGTGGAATAGATAAGGTAGACAGAGACAGGTTGTTCCAGAGAGGGGACACAGAAACAAGGGGTCACAGTTGGAAGCTGAAGACTCAGACGAGTCAGAGGTATGTAAGGAAGTATTTCTTCAGTCATAGAGTCGTCAGGAAGTGGAATAGCCTAGCAAGTGATGTAGTGGAGGCAGGAACCATACCTAGCTTTAAGACGAGGTATGACAAAGCTCTGGAAGCAGAGAGAGAGAGAGAGGATCTAGTAGCGATCAGTGAAGAGGCGGGGCCAGGAACTGAGTCTCGGCCCCTGCAACCACAATTAGGTGAGTACAATTAGGTGAGTACACACACGCGCACACACACACACACATGATAACGACATACAAAATACTGCGTGGAATAGACAAGGTGGACAGAGACAGGATCTTCCAGAGAGGGGACACAGAAACAAGGGGTCATAATTGGAAGCTGAAGACCCAGATGAGTCAAAGGGATGTTAGGAAGTATTTCTTCAGTCATAGAGTAGTCAGGAAGTGGAATACCCAGCAAGTGAATTAGTGGATTCAGGAACCATACATAGCTTTAAGATGAGGTATGATAAAGCTCATGAAGCAGGGAGAGAGAGGACCTAGTAGTACTCAGTGAAGAGGCGGGGCCATGAGCTGAATCTCGACCCCTGCAACCACAATTATGTGAGTACACACACACACACACACACACACATGACGGAAGGGATAGACTCGGAAGTGTCCTTATTGGCAGATGATGTGAAGTTAATGAGGAGAATTAAATCAGATGTCAACCAGACAGGTCTACAAGAAGACCTGGTCCAGCAACTGATGGTACGTGTTGATGGCACGTAAGGGGGCTTTCTATGTTGGCATTAACGCTTGCTTAGTAATACAAACAAAACACTGAACGAAATCTGACGAAAAATAAAAAAAAACTAAGAAATCGTTCTTCGTAAAACTAAGCAGCACAGAAGTTTGGTAAGTAAAAGAAAGCTCGGAGTGTGGTACACAATTGCAGATGAAATATACTAGGCTGTTTAATTTTGCTACTTACTTAGGTTATTTTTGTCAAGCTGAAACTTAATCTGAAGTCAAAATTAACCTATCACGTAAGATACTGGCAACACATGTGGTTCTATTTTATGCGTATAAACTAGACAATACCTCTGAGGGAAGCGGCTATCTGCTTACATACATAAACATAAATTCTGTGCATCATCCCTGCTTGTCAGGAAGAGTCAGAGAGCGTCAGTGCTCTCGTCTTCCCAGTGTTCAGGAATATTTACAAAAGGTTACTATTCATTGTGTACATTGGTGTGTGTTTTGCTAACTTAACATTTCTCTGCCACATCCACATACGCATATTTATATTCGATTTTCTTTGCTCTGTTATATGAAATCTCTATGTTAGATTAACGTGAATAAATGAGGATACCTGAACAGTGCAGTAAGCTTTTCCAATGTAACTGGCTAGTATACACCACGTGATCAACGATAAAGACATAACAAATCGTGTCAAGTTTGCATACTTCAGTTGCAGAATAGGTGATCAAGATATAACATGTCCTCTACGCATATACTGCGCTATTTGTACCTCTGGACCGACACAATGGTTAAATGTGAAACGTGGATCAATGCCATTTGTAGTCCCAATGGTATGATGAGACCCGAAGAATTACTTGAATGACTGTTACTTCTGCATCGTTAATGTGGTTTCTTTCCCGAAGAAACACAAGAATATGATAACACATCCACATTGTGAGTCAGCCAAAGTAATGTAAGGACACTGTAATGCCTATTCAACCTGTTGCTTTTGACAGAAAACGTGATAGCTGTGAAGTAACTGATAACACTAATCTTTATGAACCACTAGAATCTGGGACCTTGAAAAACAAACTAAATCTCACTATAGGAGTTTAATAACATTGTCAGGGACCTTGACCTTTCAAAGCAGGCAGAAGAACTGCTTGGATCGCACTTACAAGAGTGGAGCCTTTTAGCAGAAAGAACAAAAATATTTCACTATCGTGTACACCATAATAGATTGACGAGTGTTTCTGCATTGCTGTGAATGGTCTTATTAAAAAACTGAGCTATGAACAACATTTAGATGAATGTAGAAAATTCATCAAATCAGTAAGGTCATTCTGAAAGAAGTACTCCTTCACGACGGCAATGAAAAGCCAGATGTGCTATGCGTGGGATTAAAGCAAAAATATAAGTTCATGAAGATTCTATTCAGACTAAGAAAATACTATAACTACAAGTCGAATATATGTGGTGACCTTAAAGTGATAGTGTAAATACTTGGTCTACAAGATGGTTACACGAAATACATGCGCTTCCTTTCTCTGTGGAATAGTCGTAACGATGCTAACCACTCCAAGATAGATGACAGTAAAAGACCAACTGATTCGACAAAATAAGGAACAAGGACAGTTCATGAAAAATGATAAGATCTAAGCTTAAAGTCTTCTCACCGGTGATTTATTTTGGAGCGAACATCACACAGGTGATGCTCACTCCATGGAAAGAGATGCATAAGTCCTAATGAGAGACAAAGCATTGAAACTTAGTCCAGTTAATGGTAGAATCTCTCTGGGTTCTACAACAGACACTTTATACTCGATTTCATGTAAAACTGAATGCCAACCATGGACGAATATTAAATATTGGCGGTTAAAAAATGATAAAGCAAAATGAGACATCATATTACCTTATACTTAATAAAGCATCAAACAGGTGAAAATTGCATTAATGAAAGTTCTCATTTTGAAATATGTGGGTTATGAAGAGTTTGTTGGTTGCCAGCCATACTGTAATTACAGTAACTTTGTTGCAGACGAAGTCAAAGTAATAAGAGGGATACAGACAGAGAATGACTGCAGGAAACTAAAATAATTACAGGGATCATCTCAGAAGTAGCTCTGAAATTTCAACCAAGACGAGTGCAAAGTATTGAAATAGAATGATATTAAACAACTGCCGAAAACATTGTACTTTTGGAGGAAGAAGAGAATTAGATATCTACAGTGTGCGTAAAAAACAAAATCGATGAGATGAACATACTTTACATGCATTACCTGCTACCGGTAGACGTCAAGATGCACCTTCCACCGTTAAAACACGTTGCAGCCGTGCAGGTCTCTGGCTGGCGTGGGTGTTGGGTGTGGCAGTCATGAGGTCGTGTCAGTCTCGGGGTTACCAAGGAGGTCGTGTTCGTGTCCACAACCTGTAAGTCATGCGTACATCTGTGTCATTAAACTTTAATAATTACCTATTTTATTTTTGATCATCAAAAGGTGAAAAAATATTTATGATCATATCTTTGCGAACACATTTATTTGTGGCTACTAGTTTGTGATTCATGGCATATATATGTTTTTTTTCAACGCGTCGGCCGTCTCCCACCTAGTCAGTGGCCCAAAAAAAGAAACACATTCACTATCATTCAGTACTTTCGCCATCATTTACATATTATCACTCTCGGTGCAGAGGCGTCGACTAAGTCGGAGTTCCTAGTTTGGCCTATTCGGCCAAACAAAAATTTATTTTTGCCATAAATCAACGGAAATAAATCTAAACACAACGAAAAAATATATATCATTGATTTTAAGTAATAATAAAGAAATTTAGACTGACTTATACTATGCATAGAAGAATTCTGCTAATTTAAGTTAGGTGAAGTTTGTAACTTAGGTTTGGTCCAAAAATGAAATATTTTCTATCACTGTTATTGGAAAAAAATATATGTATCACCCTGTAAAAACTGTTTATGGAAAAGTACAATTTTTAAAGGAGTTCGGCTTATTCGAGAAGTTCGGTTTATTAGGTACGATGTATATAAGCCGTGACAATTTTGCCTTAAATCGCAACGCTCTTCTTGTTGCCGAATACGGCAAGCAAAAAATTGTATGCAATAATTTCGCAAAAATCATTCTGAACCTAACGAAAAACAATATATTTCATTGTGTTTGTTTATTATTAAATTATTATAAACTTATCTAAAATATATTTAGTTGGATTAAGCTAAATTAAATTACGCTTGTTATAATAAGGTTAGGTTAAGTTTTCGAAGGTTGTTTTAGTACAAAATTATAATTTTTTACATTAACATATATGAAAAATAATATAGGTATAAGTTATGCTGATGACATCATGATCCATATAACAGGGCACAATATGATGATTACCATTCTTAACAAAATTAAAGTAATTTGTAATCGACTAGGCCTCGTTATATCTTCAATTATAATGAAGATACTGACAAGAAAACGACATTTCCTACCCAACTGTTAGCAGGGTGAAACCATCAGGTACGGAAAATCTTACAGATATTTTGGTGTCGATGTACCTCTTAGTAAATCTATCATACCACAATTAAATAAAATATGCAAAAATAGACTAAATACTCTCAAAGCTGTTGCTGCCTACAGCCGCAACTATAGTGCTGTGAGAATAGTAAGAATGATGTACATAGCCTACGTTAGATCCTTAATTTATAATACTGCGCCCATATAAATATTAGCTGAGAAAAACTCCAGCCATTACAGCTAATGACTCAAGAAATGACGCGACGGGCTGGAGTTTTGAGACTCTATGACCGCGGGTTCAATCCCGGCCGGGGGTATGGTTTATTACAGCTAATGTGAAATGAAGCAGTCAGAATCATTCTCGGCTGCTGTTTCTAGTATCACTGGTACGATTATTGAGATTAACACTATATTTGATATTAAAATGTTTTAAAAATGGACCAAACACTGTCACTATGAATCTTATTAAATGTCTAGATGTAAATACACATAAATCTAAATGGGTTGTGAAAAATGATATTAAGTGTTATAACTTGTACGAACTGGATCACAATAGATAACAAGAGTATTCCACCCATCCATAGATGTGTTCATTTAACATCGCATACCTGCTAGTTCTTACCAAGATGCTTATTACCAGTAATCCCTTCCTTAAATAATTTGTAAAAGCAACTGTTCAAGAAGAAATTTCTCGCTTAACATAATTTTTCAACACGCCGGCCGTCTCCCACCGAGGAAGGGTGATCCAAAAACGAAACACTTTCAAAATCATTCAACATTTCACCATCATTCACACATAATCATTGCCTTTGCAGAGACCCTCACATACGACAGTTCAAGTGTCACTCCAAACAGCAAATATCCCCAACCCCTCCTTTAAAGTGTAGGCATTGTATGCCCCGCCTCCAGGACTCAAGTCCGGCTAACCGGTTTCCCCCGAATCACTTCACAAAATATTACCTTGCTCGTCAAGTCCCAAAAAGCGTTCGTCTCCATTCACTCATATTTGAAACTCTCACACATACTTAGTTCATGTCCAAGCCCCTTGCACACGAAACCTCTTTTTTCCCCCTCCTCCATCCTATCCTAGGACTACCCCTTCCCCTCCTCCCCTCCGCTACAGATTTTTACACAGTCAACAAGATGAATATGGGGTCCGCAATAAACTAGCCGCTTCAGCGGCAAAATCTAAATCTCATACAATTAGCCCCCCAAGAGATCTGAACCTTTACTGTTAGGTATTTTGATTTAAACTTAATTTTAAATATATATCTCAAGATATTCAATATGAATACATATGTTAAACTGCTAGCACCAATAGCCTGTCATATCAAACCTGACGTAAGGAGTCCTGATTTAGAACTTGACTACGGGGGCAGTAACTCCCCAGAATCGTCAACAGGTGTGTAGGTATACTGAGCATTGTATTGAAAACAAAGCATGTAAGTAATAATTTCAGACATATGTGTTATCTAAGTATTAAGGAAAGTTGAAAATAAAAAAAATATTCCAGTGAATTACCGAACATTGCGCCTCGATTGTTACAATACAAGTGTTCTTGAAAATTTGTTTTATACTGTTGTTTTTGTTCTTCTTTTTCTTTTCATACTTTTATTTTGATATAATTATTATTATTATTATTATTATTATTATTATTATTATTATTATTATTAACTGTTGCTTTGTTGTTTATTATTATTATTAAAGATTAGCCGGTATTCTCCCGGCCCGGGCCTTTTCCAAGTGGTGGCCCGGCCTTGGCTCCCTCTTTAGGGAGTGTCTGA